GAGATGATGTAACCTCCTAGAAGTGATGTCACTTGAATGTACATTGTTTTACAAGGGTTTTTTGATGAGGGTAACAGGGCTGACATGAAATTAGGGGACACCAATACAAATATTTAAATGTTATAGAAAAAATGCATACTTATGCCAAAAACATTGCTTAACAATTAGACTATATTTAAAACAATATGCAAATGTGATTTTTATATAATTTTGCCTTCATTTTGCAAATTAAAAGTCCTGCTGAAAAAGAAAAATCATAGCGAGGGACAGGCCAAAATCCTTACCCTTATCAGCATAAATGCTATTTAAATGATTTAAAATAATATTTAATTGACTTTTTTTGATGTAGTATTGATGAAAGAATACGCAGTATCGTTATGTTTTTAAATTGCAAATGTATTCGTTGTTATATTCAATCTATGTTTAATTATTTCTTAGGGACGCAAACGGCACCGATTTCGTGGAATGACCCAAACACAACTGATTCTGCTAATCGTAAGGAATCACTTCTCTAAACATTGGGTTGAAGATCCAAATTCAGCTTTATTAAGGGGTAATCCACAATCGTAATCAACCGCAGGGCAAACAATATGAACAACAGTTAAAAGACAGACAAACAGGGAAATCCAGGAAACCAGGCAGAAGATTAAAACCATGACATGAAAACCAGAGAGAGCTCTGAAATGCAGTGTAAAACATAAACAAGACTTCACAATGAGAGTCAGAATGTAAAACATAAACACGACTTCGCAATGAGAGTCAGACTCCATCAGGGACCATATTCACAAAACATCTTAAGGCTAAAAGTAGCTCCTAACTTGCAGATCTTGGAGAAACTCTTACAAATTAAGGGTGTGTCAGTTCCAATTTTAAGACTCCTAAACTTTTGCTTTTAGAGTATTTCACAAAATGTTTAAAAACTAAAATCAGGTTCTAAATCTGTGAAAAGTTAGGGATAGTCAAGAGGACTCCTATCACTAAAGCCAAATCACAAATCATCCTAAAATCGCTGTTGCCAGCAGTTCGCCTCGCAACATAAATTTTTTTAGAAACAATTCCCAATCATTTTCCTTTAGTTGAATTATGTCCTTCTTTTTATGTACAAGTTAGGCAAGACGTAAACCATAATGAGCCTTTATAGCCTATTCCACGATCAAACACGTAATGAATGAATGTGACAGTAAAAAAAACGAGTTATTTTAATTACTTATTAATAAACTAATGTTTTCTGAATCATTGTCTGCTGCAAAGATGAAGTTGGCAGTACTGACTCGCCATCTCCACAGTAGTGACCCGCCTTTACAGAGAAATGAACCTCTCATACAATTACATAACCAGATAGTATGCTTTCAATTTGAATTAGTTCTTTTAGCCATTTCTAGCTCTCTATAGATATATTTCTCATGTCTATGAGGCAAGTTTTGGTTAATTTATATGAAACGCTCCAGTTCAGTGACGGAGACAGCAGAAAGCACATCATGTTTGTTTTTTTTAATTTTACAAAACCTCAATGCTTTGTTAATATTGCAAGTGTACATAAAAGTAGAATGATGTATTACTCTTATCTGTATGAGCAAAAATGCTGGCAGATTTTGGAATCAGGAAAATCAGGAAAAAATGCCAGTGATCGCTGGTGCCTTTGTGCACTAATAGCTTCTTCACAAACACTCAATAGCGCACATTTATCTAGGTTAATGCGAGAGCGAGTGGCCATGTAAAGTTGCTACATCACTGACAGAGACCCATGCCCTCTCAGCCAAGCAAGCTTAAAAGGTTAGTTCACCCAAAAAATAAAAAATAGCCGGTGTTTTACTCACCCTCAAGGCATCCTAGGTGTATATGACTTTCTTTTGTCAGAAAAATATTCATATTTCAAACGTAATAAACACTTTTCTATCACTACTTCTGACTGTCGTATGCGGAAGCTCTTCCGGCGGATGACGTAGGATGTATGCGTCGTGTGCGCCTCTGAGATATGCTAGTCTCACCAGTTTGTTTAAGGTAGCAAAGTTTCCTTTAGCAAAGGAAAACCAGTCTCCTCTTGGCTTATAACGAAATCCTCCGACATTTTTCTTTACAAATCCTCGTTTTGTGCTTCTAATTCATGACCGGCATTTTGTTTTGTTCTCTCTCCGCGTTCGTCACTAATCACGCAACGCTGACGTCTTACGTCATCCGCCAGAACGTATGACAAATGGCGGAAGCAAAGGGCGTAGAATTAGGGGGGACGCCACGGACGTGTCCCTACCAATATCCAGCGACTGCCAAACTGTCCCTAGCAATAATTTTGATCAAACAATTAAATATATATAAGTTTTTGTAATTTCGGACGCATCTGAAATGTCATACCATTGATATTACCTAAGAAGTTAAAGTAAATAGGGTACGTTAGAAAACTGCGTGCTTTCAAGGACGCACATTTAATACATGGGCGGAACGTAGTCACGCACTGGACGAGAAGAGCAGCGCAGCATTTAGAACAACTCACATGTATTGCACCAAATTCAAGACAGCAGTCCAAAACAGTTAATATAGACGTTCACTTCAGAAATGAACAAAGTTGCATCGATGAGTTTGAAATACGGTGTTTGACAAAACAGAGCAAACGGAAAGAGAAAGTGCAATCTATGGCTGTTATTAGCTCCCTATACAAAGCATACAGACAGAAAAAGGTTGTGCGGAAAGATACACTTCCAGCCTTGGATAAAGTCATTATTAACATTAACAATGTTAATAATGTAACGTGGGGGGGTACTTGGGTTTATGTCCCCACCAATGTCAAAAGCAAACCTACGTCTTTGGGCGGAAATGATGGAGACGTGTTATTACGTTTGAAATATGGATATTTTTCTGACAAAAACGCATGGTTTTACTACAGCAGGCCTTCATTTACCCAAACGGAGTCGTGTGAGGCACGTTTTATTACGGATGTGTGCGCTTTATTTAACATGTTTTGGACTGTTGAACAGAAACACCCGCCCACTACAATGATAGAGCTGAGAAGTGCCAGGACAATTTTTTATATAACTCAGATTGGATTCGTCTGAAAGAAGGACTCTAATTAAAGAACTTTTACAGCTATTTATGAAAACTTATGATTTTTTTTTTTGTGTGTGTGTGTGTCTGTGAATACAGCCCCAGGCTTATTCAGGGCGAGTTAACAAGATAATGAGATAACAGATGAAAGTAATCAGGCAAGATGAGTCCGGGTAATGGGTAATGCAGTCCATGATAAGAAAACAAAGACGGAAGGAGTGCCCTCTTGTAGCTATTATTATTTATATTATTATTATTTATACTATTATTATTATATTATTAGTGTTCCTGTGGCTCAGTGGTAGCTGATAACTGAACTCTATGTAAGTGTAACTAGCTTCCTAAAACAGTATCAAAATCACTGGATTCAAAGATTTACATCCTTTAAACATCTTATGCACTTCTGCATTTGAACAGAACGGTGACTAGAACATGTGATAACAGCATTAACAGCAATCATAGGCTACAGTGCTTCGATGGATGGATAACTCTAGAATATCCTGCACTTAAACAACTAACTCGAAAGAAAGAAAGGGAAAAAAAAGAAAATGCCTGGTTTATTCTTTTTTTTTTTTCAGATGAATGTTTTCAAGGGTGATTGAAATTTAATTGCACTATTCATAATATATTTATACTGGGCAATTTATAACATATGCCTACATGATTATTCTATTTTTCTGAAATAAAATGCACAGGGTTACGGTAAAACTTTCACATGTATCTGACTGACAGATAAACTGTATGCTGTTATTTCAGTGTTGCTGCTAATGTAATTATTTTATCAAATAATTTTCTACATACATTCAGTTCAATTAAATCAGTCAGAGCTACAATGCTAAACTTATGCACCCTGGAGCAACAAATAATGATTTAAATGAGCATTAAACAGATGTGAATCTGAACACTCACCTGATACAGTCAGTGTAACAGCAGCACTGATGTCTGATCTCTGTCCTCTACAGCTGTAGTCACCACTGTCAGACACATAATAAGCACTGAAACTGTACTCTGCTGTTGTTGTTGTTCTGTATGGATATAAAGTGTTTCCATCTTTAAACCAGCTGTATGTCCACTGAATGTTTCCTGCTCTCTGTATGTCACATGTGAGAGTGACTGTCTCTCCTCTGAACACACGCTGATCTGGACTCACCTTCACTACAGGTTTTGGTATCGCTGTGTTAATACACATATGAGTAGATATTGATCATCTACAGTATCATTGTATCAATCACTGTTATGAACTCAAAACCTTGTGATAAAAACACTGCATTGTGGGCAAATAAACATCAAAGAACTACAAAACAATTCACATTTGTTAAATTTACTGCAGTACTGCACAGTACCTTGAGTGAGTCCAGCGTGGATGAAGGACATCAGCACTAAAAGCAGAAGAAACACAGATATGATGCATTTTCGTTCATTCAACAAAATGCAAATCACCGAAACTTGTCTATTTTAGTCTATTTTACATGAACTGAAAGCGTCTTTGTATGTTTGAATAAGCAACATCAACATCACGCACAGTGAGGTCACAGGACTGGTGAACAGATATGAGAGTCGATTCACTGATGGATTCACTGCTGCCCAGAGAAGCACTTTCAACCACTGAGATTCACAACATTCAACACATGACCATATTCTCATCAACCAATGTGATGCCAGTTTCTGTAGTGCTGTCTGTTTAGCTTTTCATTGCTCGTTTTGTTTTTATATTTGTTTTGCTGTCTTTGTATTTTTGCTTTTCTGTTTGTATAACTATACATGTCCCAAATTAATTTTGTATTGTTTCCTCTGTTTGCTTCACCTGTTTATTTGCTCACTTTTTTGTAAAACATGAAAGATGCTATTGAAATATATCAAATGTAGAATCGTGCAATTTTCATGCCAGTAACTATAGACAGATTTGTATGGTAATTGTTTCTCATGTGGACGTCTATAAAAATAAATTTACACAACACCTTGTGTTAAAACTCATGGATTTGGATGGTGATTTATTCACAGATGTGAAGCGAGTTCTGTGATCCTACGAACCCGGGAACGCGCTGCTCATGTGGCTAGTCACATGATTGTCTTCTGTAAATAAAATGAATTTATTTACCAAAAGCATATTTTAGAATATATATAATCATAGTTATTATTTGATTATTTAAATCACCTGTTAAAAAAATAGGAAAATAGACACAATATATAGTTCAGTCATGAAACTCTAAATGGCGCAGGCGATGGGTTGTTAACGTAACCAATGATATTCAGAGAGTTAAATGACTTGGCACAAGCTGATTGGTTCATGCTGCAGCCAGTGAGTTTAATGCCTTGCATTTATATGGCTGGCTAGCATTCACTTGAGATACCCTCCACCTTCCCCAGCTCCACCTGTATAGAATAGTTGTATATAATTATACGCAATGTACTGTATATAACTGTATATAATACACATTTTAAAACTGTATTGCATACCTGCTGCTGCCATTATAAAGACCCATTTTGAATGTTTATGTGATTTTATTTGAATGTTTTTATGTGACGGCCAGGGCCGTCCTTTGGGCGGTGCAACTGTTCGGTCGCACCGTGCCCCACGCTTTGAGGAAGCAGTTATAAAATATTGTTCTTGTAAATACTTTTTAATAAATATGCATGGAAATTACAGCGAAGTACAACAATTACCGTACGGTGTTCGGCAGTGGTCAAAAATGATTTAAACACTTAATTTTAAATCTTGTAAACTCAGAGATGTGGATTCAGACGGCAATTCAATTACAACACGACCCTGGTGTTTGTCAAAAACATTAGGTAATT